ACTAGGTTTATCCATCAGAAATACCATAGAATTTTCTTTCCATTTTTCAACTTGGTGATGCCTGTCATTTTGACCATATTTTGAGGCACAGTGTCATATTTTGGGTCAACATCATTCAAGGAAAAATCTTTAGTAATTCTCAGGTATTTTTATGGGGAGATGACTAACAGCTCAGACAAATGTTTCCTGATCCATTAAAAAACTTATTACTGCTTTTATATGCATTTGAAAGTAATTTAATTCTTTCGTCAAAACTTGGACATTTGGAAGCTTGGAGGACCTTCTGTCATCTGTAGATGTGGAAATTTTGGAGTCCTTTCTGCTTAACTCATTGTGGAGATTTTTTAATGAGACCAATTTTCACACCAAATCCTGAGGAATCCCACACACTACATTTCTTCAATGAGAGAAGCACTCATTTATCCTTACTGAGCTTACTTCTTCTAAAGTTCCCTATTTTTAAACTACTGTCAGTCAGACCACCTTGTCATTTTACGACAATCTGAATCATTTCACGACAATCTGAATCATTTCAGTCCCAGCTCTAAATTCACTTCTTGTGAGAATCTTTCCCCGGGAGACCTGGCCATGCCTCCCCATCTATCTTCATCCCTCAGCGTGTGCATCAAGGTCTGTGCTGAGTGCCTTCTCTTTCCAGTCTCCCTTCTTCTTGTTCTCAAGCTGCTTATGGTCCACGTATATTTTATCTCTCCTTAGTGAGGAATGCCTTCAGGAAAGCACTGGTAGCATCTTTTGGACACACTCCCTCCCATTCCCCCATAGGATCAATTTCCCTACATCGTATACAGTAAGAACTCAATGAATGCTTCACTGTTGAGAGATCCTGCTTCAAAATGTATCAGCTAAAACTCAAAATGCTTTTTTGTTCTTAGCCATTCTTTGGGCAACCTAGACACCCCTCTGATTCTCAGCCTTTACATCTGGCAGTTCATAAACACATCTTGCTGCTGTCACAATACAACCCACGCTGGGGGGATATATTCTAATGCTGATCTTGTATAAGGCCACCCTAACAGGACCTCGCAAGTAATTTTATGTCAAAGAAATGTGTACATGTGTTTTTCTTTCTATGTCTAGAGCTTCCTTCTGCTTGTCCAATGTAGCACCAGACTTTTCCTGGGAAAAATGTAGCTTCATAAAACCATCTTTACGCTGGAAGCAAAAAAAAAAAAAAAAAAATACTGCCAGTCAGCTCTGTATGCAGCCTTGGGTGAAAATGTTTGTCAAGGCTATTGTTTTTATTTTTACTTTTTTAAACATTATTATTTTTTTGCTGGGAAGGATTCATTCCAAGTTAACATGTGCTGCCAATCTTCCTCTCTTGTTTTCCCTCTGCAAAGCCGCAGTGCATAGTTGTGTATTCTAGTCATTAGTCCTTCATTTCTTCTATGTGAGATGCCGCTACAGCATGGCTGCTGACAGACAGCGGTGTGGTTCCGTGCCCAGGAACTGAACCTGGGCCAATGAAGCGGAGCATACCGAACTTTAACCACTAGGCCTTCAAGGCTGGCTCAAAGCTATTGGGTTTTTTGTTGTTGTTGTTAAAGATTGGCACCTGAGCTAACAACTGTTGCTAATCTTTTCTTTTTCCTTCTGCTTTTTCTCCCCAAATCCCTGTGGTACCTAGTTGTATATTTCAGTTGTGGGTCCTTCTAGTTGTGGCATGTGGGATGCCACCTCAGCATGGCCTGATGAGTGGTACCGTGTCCACATCCAGGATCCGAACCGGTGAAACCCTGGGCTGCCGAAATGGAGCCCGTGAACTTAACCATTCGGACATGGGGCAGGCCCCCTCAAGGCTATTGCTTTAAAAAAGTCTGTGTCTGCCTTGCCTTTGGAATCCCCTTCAGGGTATTTCTAGAAGTTGCTTTGATCACCATTTTTTACTTCACCTCAATGGGCCATAAATGGTAGGCTCCCCTGTTATCTTCCAGGGATTTTCAGTTTTTGAAAAATCTCCTTGTTTTCCTGTGTTATGGTATGTGCTGCATGGGCACATGGGGTTTTTTTTTTTAAGCACATTACCTGGTACCCAAGAAGTACTAGATATTTATCAAATATACATTGAACAAAGGCACACACTGTTTTTAAAAAATTAACTTTTTTGTCAATAATATATTATTAAGTAGCATCTAGAATGCATCAAGGTTCCTAGCATTCTCAATTCCTAACGTCTTAATTTTGCCACGGTTCTGTTCTTAAATTGATGATTTTCTTGGATCCCCTTTGGCTGCGAGGAAGTTGGATTGAACTGTATGGGGATGACTCTTACTTAATGGCTCCTCAGCAAACATCTCCTAAATCAATTCCTGTTCATCCATTGAGACCAAGCCTTATACAGCTCCTTGCCCTGTGGGTTTCTGAACTGCCTGTTCTTGGAAATAGTCTTTTAATCTGTGTCAAAAGACGCGTCCACCTATCTTAGCTAGAGGATGCATTTTGCTAGTGTTTTTGGTTGATGTAAACACACTTTATTCTCTGGTACACTTAATGTTTGTTTCTTAGTTTTATCCTTCTGATTGGATAGAGTCCATAAAATGATTTGTTTTATCTCCTTTTTATTATGTGATTGTTGAATCTTTACCTGAATTTGCCAGTAATTCAATTTCTGGTAAGACTCTGACTCTGTTTTTGCTGGTTTTAATAAAGAGCAGTACGCTGCCTTCCTGTCTTCATCTTTTCTGTGGACTTTGCTCATTCTCATGACGCTAGATCTCTAAATTGCTAATTGTAGCTGGCTCCCACTTGAGATCATTACGAAGGAATTAACTTTATCCACTTTGTTTATGAGGCCTCAAGGCCTGGCACAGAAACTCTTACATAATATGGCTTGGTGTTTTGATCTTTTCTTACTAATATTTGTCTTGTATTTATCCATTGAACATTTATTGCATGCCCATTAGGTAAAAAGCACATTTTCAGTCTCTGGGAGAGGGGGAGGAAAGGTGAACGAGAGGTGATCTGTGCTCCTAGGGAATTTACAAGCTAGTGAGAAAGTGGCTGTGGAAAAAACCCAATACACAAAAGAGCTGTAATTAGAACCAGAATAAACACTGATACTAACAAAATAGAAGAGAGAGGAAAAATACTTCCAAAAGGTTTCATGGAAAAGGTGGAAGTTGAATTTTGCTTTCAAGCATGGGCAGAGTGGACAGAGGAGACAGAGAGAACTTTGTGCAAAAGCCTGGAGAGGAAAGCCATAGATGTAGAAAACGGAGCAGTGGTCACATTGGTGGAAGGGCATGGGATGCGAAGGGACAGGGCTGGAGATGAATTTTGGAAAGTGTATTGGGTTAGGGTATACAGTCCTGAATATGAAGAGATTTTGGACTTTGTGGTAGGCGGCAGAGAAAAAGGAATGATATCCAGAGACATGAACTTTATTGCTAACAAAAATAAATACCAGGGCCAGCCTGATGGTGTAGTGGTTAGGTTTGTGTGCTCTGCTTCCGCAGCCTGGGGTTCGCCAGTTGAGGTCCCAGGTGTAGATCTATGCACCACTCATCAAGCCATGCTATGGCAGGCATACCACATATAAAATAGGGGCAGATGGACACAGATGTTAGCTCAGAGCCAATCTTCCTCAGCAAAAAGAGGAGGATTGGCAATGGATGTTAGCTCAGGGCTAATCTTCTTCACCAATAAGCAAAACAAAACAAAACAAAACAAAAAACTATCAGTTATTGTGTGCCTAATCTGTATCAGGCACTGAGCTAGGTGTTTTATATCTGATCTGCACAATAATGTTGAAAAGAGAGGTGATATTATTCCCATTTTACAGACAAACAGTGTGAAACTCCAAGAGAGAGACTAAGCTGGCAATGCTGCAAAACATGGATTACAGGAGGTTGGGGCTGAAATCCAAATTATTAGCAGAGGCTCCATCCATATAGCTGATGGAACATATACTTTTGTCTCTTCCTCCCATTCCAATGTCCTAAAATTGACCAAGACATATATTTTTAAAAATTCAAAACCACACTGGCAAACTGGATCACAAACCGTAAGGAATACTGAAAAAGTGAAGGGCCATGGCAATTGTGTCAAAGAAAGAAACTGCGGCCTCAGATGTTCTTTGGCAACCCCCAGGATGAACGGGATAACCACCTGCACACCCCACTAATTAAAACATCAGATAGCACTGCTAACTCTCCACTCCTCAGTGAACAGGTCTAAACAGATGAAACATTCACAGCAAGGCTCATAGCGAATGGAACAAAAAGAGATCTATAGAAAAAAAATTATCGAACATTCGAAAGGAGCAAACTCCACACAAAAAAGTACCCAATTCAGGAAACAGGAGAATTTTCTTTGAGTACCTGCTGTATTTTTTTCTGTACCTGTCTTCTAGTGTTTATCGTTTTCTATAACCTCCTAATTTCCTACCCCAAACACAATTGACTGCTCACTTGAACGCACGTAGTCCTTTATATCTCTTGCGTGGAGCCTATGACTCAATGTCCCTCATACGCATTGCTACTTTCATTTGTATCATCCGACTGTTGATACGTATTTACAAGTCTGTGCAGACTTACATAAAGTTCCACTTCAATGAGACACGGACAAAGTTAGAAACAAACTTTGAGGAGATTTAGAACGTCAAGACTCAAATTTATTCTTATTTTTGAAGGCCCTAAGAACAGCATCTTGTTAACTTTTTGCAAATTCTAACTTTAGAAGGCTATGGTAAGGCAGTATATTTTGGTACGCGTTACTATGTAAGCATATTTGCCAAGGGATCTACACATATACTTATGAAGAATAAATATGCACCGTGACTAATCCTGTTTTAATTAACACCAGCGAAAACAATAGTGGCTGACACGACAAACTATTTTCTGGTTTTCTTTTTTTAACTGTGGCAGTTGCCATTTAAAAGGCCATGAGAAGAGGGGCACACATTCATCCTCCAGAGGCCCCCTTTCCCCTAAGCATGAAACTGACTAGTTATTCAAAGATGACATAGACATGATACTCACATTTTGTAGTCATCAACTTTTCAAAAGACTGGGCCCACTGCAACACTTCCTCCAAAGTGAGGCTTTGAAAAGAAACACAAGGTGTTCATCATACCAAAACGTTCTAAGGTTTTGCTGAATTCCCTAGAAATATCATCTATCTTCACAATAACACCAAAGTATAGTTATTCTCTATTTGTGTGTGGTTTTAGATGGAAGTTTATCTTCCTGTGATCTCTTACATTTTATTTTTATTTTCTAAATTGTTAAAATTTAAAAAATGATAAAAGAGTATAAACTTGAAAATATGACAAAATAAATTTTAGAAAGACAAAATTCCACAGTCCTATAATCTCCTTATTCCCAAATCACCATTATTAATATTTTGACTTATTTCTTTTTAGTGTTTTTGTCATGTGAATGTGTGTGTTTTTAGCCAAGAAGTAGTCATACTCCACGTGTGTCATTGTGCGTGTGTGTACTTTATGTGTGTGACATATATATGTGTATATATGTAAATACACTTTTAACAAGCTTTTTACATGTCATCACAATTGTCTTAGTAAGCATTTATAGTGTTATAATTTATAATTATACATTTATAATCATTTATAGTCATTGTGGCGTATTCTACAAAGGAGCATTCCATAGTTTATGTAATTATTCTCAATGAGCATTTTGATTATTTCTCAGTTTTTAGCATTAAAGCTTGTTGTGATTAAGCCTTGCCATGCTCGGTGCAGGACAATTCTTTAGGAGATCAGCTGTTGTAGAATCAAAGTGGGTCAAAAGACACACACTTTCGGGGCTGGCCTGGTGGTGCAGTGGTTAAGTGCGCAAGTTCTGCTTTGGTGGCCCGGGGTTCGCCAGTTCAGATCCCGAGTGCAGACATGGCACCACATGGCAAGCCATGCTGTGGTAGGCATCCCACATATGAAGCAGAGGAAGATGGGCATGGATGTTAGCTCACAGTTAATCTTCCTCAAAAAGAAAAAAAAGCACATTTTTAAGATTCTTGGTACAAATTGTCAAATTGCTTTTTTAAAGGGTTATGTGTTGTGTGCTGCTGCCACCAGCAATGTGTTTGCTCATTTATCTATTAGAATCTTAGAGTCTGTCCACAAAGCCAACTTACATGCATTCATATAATAAAGTTAGTAACCCTCTATCTATTATGTATAGATATTTTCTCAGCCTATTATTTGCTATAATTTTTTTTATGTTGAGGGTTTTAATTATTACTGTGAATAATATGTCATTACATTTGACCTAAATAGTCTAAAAAAAAAGCCATTTACCATTTCAAAAATATCTGTGAAAGAGACTGGCTTCGAGGCTTCATTTCTCTTTATTTTGTGAGCCATTTGGATGATGAAGGGAATTGGCAAGTGACTATGTATTCTTACATATAAATCGTTTTACTTTCCCTCCCTTAAAATACTTAATGTGTTCATTGCCGTTCCGTTTATGATGTATGCTTAATTTTCCTGCTTTCGATAATTGCACGTAATCAAAGACAGCTCTAGATGTAAGCAAGCTCTGTCCGCTGGCTGCGCCTGGTGTAGTTGGATTAATAATTGGTGTTGAAGGAACAGCCATCAGTATTAGCAGGTGCTTATCACAATGAAGGAAGGTTAGTTAAAGAGGTTAAAAAATAACCTAGAACATGGAAAATTATTGGGAGTCCTGAAAAGGTCAAGCAACTTTTGTTTTCTACAAATTCAGCTGGCTCTTGCCAGTTTTAGATAGACTGTTATTAGTACCGAGTCTTAACAGTTTATCGCTATTAAGATTGCGTTCAAAAAAACATTTCCATGAAATCTTGTCTGACTCATTGTTCTTTTCTCTTATTAGAACTTTAAAAACAGGAACCCAAAATAGCCTTTTCTATCCAAGGAAATGGAAAGTGTTAGGCAAGTTACATTGTATGCCTATCTGTTCCACCCATTCCCATTATATAGGAAAGAATAAAATCTGCAACATGAGTGAAGATGCCATCATTGGCTAGGGTTAGCTTGAAATAAGGTGTTAGTACCTGAGAATTCCTTTGCCTCTGTGATTCATGAGATTTACGGAGATTGATCATGACTGGAGTAATTACGCATAGGGGTAAAGTTGTGACATAAATTTTTTTTGGTTTAACCCCATTTTTGCTTGTAGTTTTTTCTTAGTATATCACAAGTTTCACGCTGTCCCATGGCTATCCAGGTGCCCTTATCAGAATTATTCTAAACTCCTTTGTCCCCTCACCCACCCAGATTTCCTAATAAAAATTCTCCACTTGTGTGCCCTCCTTTCTTTTAGGTAGGCAATGGATCCCAAACAGATACAGGAGCATTCTGAGATATCATGATGCTCAGAAAGAGGAACGAAGAGTCTGACTGTCCTGGGTTCTAATGCCAGTGCTGTACTTCATAGCTTTTAGTCTTGCTTAAAATCTCCAAGCCTCAGTTTTACTGTCTATAAAATGGGGAAAATAATATCTCTCTCACAAAGTTATCATGCAAATGAAATTAGGTGGTAAACGGAAAGCATATATCAAATGACTGTTTTCCAGCAGCTTGCCATGAATGTGAAATCTCTTTCCTTGGCCTTCCCTTTCATTGATAGTGGGTCCACAAGCAGGTAGAAAGAAATGCGAGCCCTGCTGGTGATACTTGATGGGAGTCATCAGCCGAGGAGAGGGAAGCTGTCCCCAAATTAGCCTGTTTCATCTTCCTTCTTCCCCGCACCTGTGCAGTGCACAGCCTCAGCCGGTCCTTTAAAATGCTTGAGGTCTCACCATCTCCTCCACACACCACCGCAGCCTCGTCCTCCCACACACCATAGCTGGTAAGCGTGTTTGGACATTTCGGGTCTTTGGGCAGGCGCATGTGTGTCGGGAGCGCTGATGGTAGTAGGGAGATGTGGCCAGAACTGAGGTCTCCACGTGGACCAGCTTAAGCGCTCTTGTTAACCTCACGTGCGTCTTCGACTTGGGAATTCTTTCACGTGAGCGAGTCTAATCAAGTGCTGTGTTTCCCTTCTCTGACATGCTGCTTTGCATTTGAATGCAGTCACTGTTTCCATCCAAATGGCTACATTTTTAGTTATTGCAAAGTGGAGAAGAAACTTGGGAACTGGGTAAGGGTTTGGTTACCCCTCCAGTCCCACCTCTTCCCACTAGGTTTGAGGGTTTCTGGCACTTTGTTGATGCACCATGAACATATTTTAGATCAAAGAATCTCACTTATACTAAACAGTGTAAAACTTTGAAAAAAAAATCTAAGACTATTCCTAAGAGACTCTAAAAACATTCAGCTTGCTGAATTCTCAAGTATAAGCCATGAATAATGAAAACGGAACCTTAGTGTAACACATGGCTGCTCTTCTGCTGGAATTACTCATGTGTAAATGCAAATTTTACCTTCTGAGCAAAATATATTAAGGTAGCAGTTGAATACATATGCACCTATTTATCATGTGATAACTATGCATTATAATGGCCATAGAATTTAAATGCTACTTACTTTGAAGGGGGCCTCTTAGATTCAGCTCTGCATATCTTACAAATCCAACAATTCCTCCTGCTCATTTTTCTAAAGAAATACAGCATATACTTAGTGTAATTTAGCCCTTTAAGATAATTATATGGTTAGAGTCAATTTCTAAAGAACACACAAAGTTATAAATCACGAAAAAATAAGGATGAGTTCTTGAAATTAATGGAATACAATCGCCGGTGGAGGTGCGGAGGAGAGAGGAGAGTAAAATGAATCATCTCATAAATATTTTATAGGAATATAGCTGCTTAGAATCGGCTTTAGAACCCACCGGGCCCACCTACTCATCAAATAGCGGTGTTTTAAAAAGGTACGGCTCTCTGAAAAAGATCTTTCCATTTAGGGCCCATTCACGATGAATTTGCCAACTCCCCAATCTTCCCTGTTTGGATAATTCTTATTTTTAGAAAGATCTCTCAATGTTTTAAACAAGAATTTGCCTCTTTGTAATTAGCCAGATTTGTTGTTGGTGGTGCTGTCCAGTCGATCTGACTCCTAGCCACCCCGTGTATAGCGAAGGAACCCTGCCTGGTCTTTCTGCACCATCCTCTCGCCTTCTGGTGCTGCGTCAGACAATGCTCTGCTGCTATTCGTCGGGTTTCATGGCCAATTCTTTCAGAAGTGGGTGGCCAGGTCCTTCTTCCTACTCTGTCTAGGCTGGAAGCTCTGCTGAAACCTGTCCACCATGGCCGACCCTGCTGGTACTTGAAATCTCAGTGACATAGCTTTCAGCATCACAGCCACACCCAGCCGCCATAGTATAACAACCAACAGATGGACAGAGAGACAGGAGGATGTGATTCCCTGACCAGGACACGGCGGTGAGAATGCCAGATCTTAACAACTAGACCACTAGGGCTGGCAATTAGCCAAATAAAGTAGTTCAAATAGCCAGGTGAAAAATAAGCCTCTTTGAGGGTAAATTCTGAAAGGGGTGTTGTTTACCTGGTTTTCCCCATTCTGGGCAGTGTAACTTTGATTTTAAAATTTAGTTGGTTTTCTCAGCCCAGGCTTTCTGTCACAATGTATGTCCTACAGGGTTTTTAACTCAGGACTTTGAGAAAACAACTGAAAAATTTGTTAAGGATAGTTAAATCCACACTTTATAGTGAGAACTGGAAATATTTTGCTAAACATATATACACACTTATATACAATGAATTATTAAGGATAAACAGTAAGTTTTTATATCAGTCTTTATTGATTCATTTGAAACATCTGTTGAACCCTAACATGGGCTAAGTTCTGACTGCTGGTGATCGACATACACCCGGTCTTTCCTCTTCCCATCCTCACTAGCAAGCCTTTAAAATTCCAGTGACGGGGACTTTGATACAGGAAGTGCAGGGGCCTGTGCGTACATGCAGGAAGAGAACCTAACCAGACTCGGGGGTGGTTGGAGAAGTCATTCCAGTAAAGTCATAGCTGAGCTGGAACCTACAGGATGTGCTGGAATGTGCTGAGTGAAGAGAAGGAGGCAGCTTGGGCAAAGGTCCAAAGGGAAGGGGTCACGTCCTGGTTAAGGAAATAAAGAACGCAGTCACCCCATGAATCTAGAGTTTGGCAGGAAGAGAGCTCAGAGAAAAGGCTAGAGGGCTAAGATTGGACCAATAATCATGTTCAAAAATGTTTGTTGCAACCTTAAAATGGTGAGAGCTGACGTTGTAAGGATAGGCAGAAGTCAAGCACGTGAGGCTTTACACACCATCAGTTTCATAGTAAGGAGCTAGAAAAATCATTTAATGGTTTAAAATATGGAATAGACATGTTGACAGTTGAAACTTGTTTCGTGAGTAGAATGGGTTGTAGTGTGGCAAGGGTGGAATTAGGGAGACTAGTTAGGAGCAATTGCAGGAGTCTAGGCAAGGGATGTGACAGGCTTAGAGCAAGAAGGGAGTAGTAGAAATGGAGGGAAGAGATAGACTAGGTATTCTGGAGGAGGAACTATCAGAACATGTTGCTTTATTGGATATGGAAGGTGGAAGAAGAAAAGGAAGAAAGTTCAGCTGAGAGATTACCCTCAAGATAAAGGTGGGCAGTTTTCATAAACCATGTAAGAGAAGCCAAAAAAAAAGATGAGATGGCCTCGGAAAAGTATGAACTGAGAAAAGCAGATGGCCCAAGACAGCTGACTGAAGAACACAAACATTTAAGAGAGAGACTGAGAAAGAGGAGCCTGCAGGAAGAAAATCAGAACAATATGGTCTCAGAGAAACCAAGCAATAAGTTATCAAAAAGGAAAGAGTGGCCAACCGAGTATTAAGAACTAGGAAGAGATTAAGAGAGCAAGGAATTGAAAGATATCAGTCAGATTTGTTAACAAGGTCATCAGTAACCTTGGTAAGAGTGGTTTTGGTGGATCAAGGAGGGCAGAAATAAGAGGGAAGAAAACAAGAGGAAATGGAGACGTGGGCAAATGTAGGTCGACTTGTGTTTTCTCAGTTCTTTCCCTTCCTTCCTCCCTTCCTTCCTTCTCTCTCTCCTTCCTTCCTTCCTTCCTTCCTTCCTTCCCTCCTTCCTTCCTTCCCTCTCTCCTTCCTTCCTTCCTTCCCTTCAATGATTAAAGCTGTGGACAGATTGATATAATAGAGATGGAGAGGCAGGACTATGCTGTTTGACGGTTCTGGTCTGCACTGTTGTTCAGATGTTGCTCATAAAGTGATACGCCCTGGGGTTGGCAAATGGTGGCCATGGACAGAGGTTGAAGACGTAGGAGAAAGAGGGAAGATCAATAGAATTTTGGGTTCCTGAGAAATAAGGAGGCGTTGGAATTCAGAAGGTGGGGGCTAGGACGTTGGGGAGGTGGAAGTACAGGAAGAAGGTACCCTTTCCTTGTGACTGGAAGAGTGCGGAAGGATGGGGGCAGGTCTAAGTATATTTGCAGGTTTGGGGATAAGAACTTCTGGACGCTGTGGTCTGATGGACTTTATTGTCTGTATGGGTCTCTACTGTGAGGAGGACCACGGACACAGTAGTTAAACATATCTACAGGAAGGAACACAGTTTGGACTCTTTTAATTACAATTATAGATGGAAATTAGTTTAAGTAAAAGGGAAAATTTGTTGTAAGGATATGTTCGTGCGTCCAGTTAGATTCTGGATGACCTTAAATGTTAGGCTCTATTCTTTCGGTAGTAGTAATTCATTGAGGTCTTTAAATAGCAGTGTGATGAAAATAAGTCTTTTTCTAGAAAGATAAATCTGACTGATGATTAATACTGAAATAATTCAGGTTAAGAAAATTGTCACATTATATACTGATCTCGTATGTAATTGGACCAGAACTATAGTAATGGAGCTCCAATTTCAAGCATCCTCATTTCCGTCATCACCTCTAAGATGCAGATTACCCAACGGCTCTCTGCTTATCTTGTAAGTAGAGGAGGGTAAGGGACTTCCTTCCTTCTTGTGTCTTCTCTCTCAGTATAACTCATCATCTCTGTCTTCTACTGGGCCTTGACTTCTCCCCTACCTCTACTTTCCACAATAGTCTTTCCAGCTCATTGTCTCTTCTCTTGATCTACTGGAGCCATGGACATACATTGGCGATTTTTGTAATTAAAATTCACGTCTATTTACAAGTTATTTTATTTGTGTTTATAACTGTAATGGAATTGTTTGGCAAAGGCAGATCACTATTAGTGTGCAACACCCACGGAGGTCAGAAGCACAGCAAAGGTAAAGTAATTTCCAGATGCACCAAAGTTTAGGGGGTTCCCACAGCTCCTGAGAGGTAACAGAGTACATTAAAATCATTCTGGGCTCTGAAGCCAGACAGACATGTGCTTGAGTTCAGGCTCTTATTAGCTGTGTGACCTTAGGCATATTGATTAAACTCTGAGATTCTCAATTTCCTCTCCTCTAAAATGAAACTGTAAATATTAGAAAAATACACCCATGCAAAAACTTTCTGTTCCAGTTAATCTGTCTTCCTTCAGCTTCCTGCGCTTGTCACTCGGAAAGTATTTCCTAAGCTCTTTTGTGTGGACAGGAAACACACATTCTGTCAGAGTACATTCCTTCCTCTTTTTCAATTTCAACTCAGATCTCTTAAGTTTTCCCGATTAATTTTATTCATTCTTCAACCTGTCGGCATACTTCTTGCAAATCCTCCTTCTCTTCATTTTTGTTTGTTCTGGTATTCCCATATTTCTATTGTTCACACCTTATATTCGTAGCTAGGGTTCCAGCTTTGGAATTAGCTGGGTCTAATATAAATAACATCAGACACGTGTGGGCATGTGTGTCATTTGATGGAATGGGGCCACCAGGGATGACTTATTTGGCCAGAAGAGCTCAGGCATATGTGTGTGTATATATATATATCTATTATATATATAATATACAAAAAATATAATATATGAAAATAATGTTTAGATTTCTGACTTATCTACTCCTACTAGTCTGTAAATTCTCTGAAGTGTTATGTTCAAATGCTATTTGAGAATCACAGATAAGAGGTCGTTTATATGTTGTTTAGTATTCAAAGTCAAACATTCACAGACTTATTAAATGATGGAATACTGATGGAAGATAATGCCATAAAAGCGTCAACAATTAAAGAAAGCATTTAGTGACAGAATGATGTACAAGATATGTTATGCCTAAAGAGATCAGGAAACAGTCTTGTTCTATGAAGTTCTCTGGTTTTCTAGTCATTAAGAAATGGAACTTGTTGGGAGCTGTCCCTGTAGTGGATCCCTGCTGTCCATCTTTGGAGATTTCTGTCACTGAATGCCCCCTCACTTGCCTGCACTGCCCTCTTTTGATTACTACTGGATTCAGTGTCATGCACCCCTACTTTGCTGGAATATCACAGCACACTCCCCGCGTCGTCATCATGCCTTCCACGTAGAGAGAGAAATTCACACATATTTAACCCAGCTTCTGGTAACAGAAAATTGACCTTCTGAGTTTATGACCTCTTCCAAAAAAACACTGCTAAAATTATAGTAAAAAAATATATAGGGCTTAAACGTGAAGGGAAAAGGAGATTAAACGAGGAGACACAAAACAACAAAATATTTCAAACTACTTTTGAAGACGGAAAGCAGGAGAAGGAATAGAAATTAAAATTCTCATACCTCTAAATTGAGAAGAGAAAAGGCGGCCTTTGGAATTTCATCTGACCAAATGAAGAAAATAGAATCCACAATCTGAGGACAAAGAATTTCCAAAATAACTAGTGGTTTGAAAAGTAATATCTGCCATCCTGCATTCAACAATGTTTATCAGTGAGTAATACATTTGCATCTACCGTTTAATACTACCAAAACATAGAGTGGCAGAGTGAAACTTTCACATTTACAACTGAGAACTTTTAAGAAATATTTTTGATAATTCCAAAAGGAGTAAATTCTAATTTTTTTTCAAGTATAGTTCTTCAGGATTAGAATTTGTTTAAAATATCCTATTGATAATCTCAAATTTATTTTGTTTATAGTTAAATCCAATTAAGAGTGTCTTCATTTAAATTGTACCCTTATAATTAGAGCACATGTGGTCATTTACTGGTAAAAATAAAAATGAGCCTCAAATATTCTGTAGAACTACAATTCAGTTTTGTCAAAAAGAGAGTTCCCTGTGAAAGAATGGGCTAAACTGATATGATGTGGAATTCATTTAAATTGGAGAAACTCACCAAAATTCAAATCAACAATAATTATTTTTTTCTCTTGCTGGTCGTATGATATGTGGAAAAATTCCATTGACCTAAAAATAAAATAATAACAAAAACAGAAAGGTTATTGTGTGCTTCCTGGAGAATGCGTATTTGGCAAGGATTTCTATAAATACCCTCTCCTACATTTTAAGGAAATAATTTCTCCACTTTGTAAGCTCTGGATTATGGTTATTCTTATTTTTGATTTATTAACTGCTTATCTAGAATTTTATTAATTTCATGAGTTGATATTATAAAAAATTCCTGTGCTCTTAATTTGTATTTTCCATTGCTTTTCTTTAAATATTTTATGTTTTTCTTACACGAACATTATGCATTAATTTGCCTATCTTTTTACTTTTTCAATATCCTCTTGGTAAAACGGGTGTACACTTTTACAGTCTAAGTATAGAGGATTTAGAAGAAGTTTAGGTCTCTGTAATGATTTTGCCTCCAATATTTTTCCGGATTATTTTAAAAAGCATGCATTTCATCTGCAGAATCTATTTCTTAGAGGAGTTATAAACGCATTGGTAATGAATTGAGTTGGATGTGTATTATGTCAGAAATAGATAGAAGTTTCCTCTAGCATTTAAATGAAATCTTTCTCAAAGCCATGTGAAAATAAATCAAATTTCTTAAATTAAGCCTTTTCACATATTTAAGTGTTTTTATCATCCTGATAGGCAATTGATAAATTCTTTCTGTTCATATTTAATATCTGCATTTAAATGTTTCTTTATTTCATGATGTAGCATGTCACATAAAATTGAGAAAAACCGAGAGCAATTTACATTGAGTAAGGTTTTGTTTGCCATAGCGTGTAAAATTCTTGCCTTTTGAAAAGGCAGTAATTTGTGTGTAGCGGGCTTAGGCATAACTCTCAGGGACGAAGAAGTTCTGCAAAATCAAGATTAGGTGTTTCATATAAACCTTACAACAATCCACACCTGCAATCAGTACAGCTAATTAAATGATGGAAGTAATCATTTGGCAATGCACGATTTTTGAAACAATTCTGAAATATCTGATTTTATAATATATCTTTATCTAAGCACATACACTCATGTACACACAAAAACCCCAGAAATTAAAAAATCGTGCTGTACTCTAAAACTGTAATATTTCCTTTACGGCCCAATTTAGAAGTTTCATTTATACATGCGTGACTGCAAGTTTTTTTTAAAGTATAGAAAGCCTAGGCCAGGCAAATATATGTGTTTACCAGTTTGTTTTCTTTAGAAGAAACTTGCTAACACTTCTAGCATCCTGCTGTTGAAGTAAATATCTACCAGTCCTTTATACCCAGCCAACCTGATTGTAATTCAGCAATGATTTTATAGAATTTCATACTTACAAATATATCCTGTAGAGCGGTCCACCATACTAAATTTTATTTCCTCTTCATATGATCCTTTTGAAATCAGGTTCTGAAATTCTGTGAGACACCCAGCATTTTATTTTTCCTGGCATAAAAGACTTTACTGTCTCTCTAGTTACCTTCGATGGCACTCTGGCCTCTGGACGAATGTTCTGTTTTTACACACGTATCTATGCAAAGAAAGATTTTTGTTGAATATGGAAAGTAGCTCTGTGGGACTCCAGTGCATTGTTGATAAAGAGGTTTTATCTAACATTATCAGCCCATCTGAAGTGATCATTTGATTGGAAGTGGTAGCTCCATGAAATATTCAATGTAATATTCAAAGCTTTTTTCCCCCCAAATAATTCATTTTCCTAGTTTCAGAAAATGTATAGTTTAATGTAAAACCCCCCTTTTTAACAAAACAGAGAAGTGAATACCAATAAGAAGGCTACTCCTGCAAACACTTGCTATCAAATTATTGAGAATTATTAAAATCAATCTGTTTGGAATAGTCAAATTACTAAGGACTTGTAACAATTGAAGGATCTGAAGAGACCTCTTTTCTAGTTAAACCTTTCTAGTTCCTTCAACTGGTCCTTATAGGGCAGCTTCTAGACTTGCCGTCATTCTCCAGCTTGTCAAAATACCTGTTAAAATCTGAACTAAACACAGTGCTCCTGGTGAGGACTAATGAATGCAGAATATGGTGAGATTGTTAATGCCCTTGTCCTATGTCTAATATAATTGTGTGTGCGTGTGTTTGTATGTGCATGTGTTTGTATGTGTGTGTGTGTGAAACAGAGTGGTGGGAGTTGAGGAATGCTAGAATAAAACAGCAGGAAAGAAGATCAGACTATGGTTGATGGAGTGTTTCTTAAAGTATTTGGGAGCTCAATGAGGTAGAAGATTATCTTTATTTGTAATTCATTATTTTGAGGTTCAAACCCAGAGAAATTGTATCTCTCAAGCCTAGCGGATAAGTTTGGGACTAGAAAAGGCAGAGAAACTTCAGAAAGTCGGAGGCTGTGTAGATGCAGCGATGATGCAGGAAGTCAAGGGCGAGGTTTGGATTAGCTGGGAAGGACCCAGGTGTTTGCTGAATGCATTCATTTTCAGTGGTCTCTAGTTGTTCAATTCCTTCCCTACCTCAGGACATCTGGGAGTCTTTCCAGGCATCATGCCTGGGATTCAGGAATGATTCCTCTTTCTCATAGTTTGGGTGCAAGGAGCAGGCAGGAAGATTCTGAAAGTAATACCATGTAGGAGTGCCAATTTCAAAGACTGCTTAATAGAATAAAACGTGAGCATCTTCCTGTGGAGTGAAAACTGGGTGTCAACAGGGCTTGAGAAACAAAAAAAGCCACGGCATTTAGAGTAACAGAATGGGTAGATAAAAGGCGGTCCTGGAAGAATCCAGAATAAGGTTGTGGGGGACTGGCACTGGCCACCCCAAGATATGTCTCTTTGGCATGGATTATTTGTGCCTGGTTACTTTTAATAAACTGCAGACAGGAAAGGAACTCTGAGAAGCAGAGTTTACTTACCCTTTGTTAAGAGACATTTACATTGTAAGGGAAATCTCCATCTGTAAAGGTGTCTCCCTCTCTGTACCAGGAAGAAGGGGGGATGAACTTATCTCTAGAAACTCTTAATCAATGCCAAAGGCAAGGACTTAAATCTGCGTTTCTTTACTGTACTTGTGTGGTAATCTCCCATGATCGACTCCCCCTCCACCCCCAACATCCTCCTTTGCTCAAGATGATGTTTAAGGTGGGGGCTTCAGCCATTTTGGCGAGTTGCTCAGCTTGCCTGAGCCTCTGCCATGTATACATGTTATAAAGCTTTGTTTAATTTTCTTCTGCTATTCTGTCTCATGTGAATTTAATTCGTTCTCCGCCCAAAGAACCCACAGCGGGTAGAGGAAATGTCTTCCTCCCCTACAAGGTGTAGATGCTTATGGCAGCTATCTAAGCATTTTTTATTTCCCTGGAAAAGGATAGGCCAAGAACAATGAATCCCTGGTCATTGCAATGTAATCCTTGGGACATAGGTGGATCCTACTCATTCAGAGAAGCCAGGCGAGGGCAGGTAACATCATCGTTGCTCTTTCTGTTGGTGTATCTTGGGAATGTCCTTTTCTTTGAAAGACTTACTCTTGAGCATTTTCACTCTATTTCTGCTTCAACCAAAGTCCAAAGTAACGCAAGTTCAAATGTGCACAATTAATGAATATTTAATATCTTTGTATGTTTAAAACCCAAAATGAACTTCTTCACTCAAACAGAAAAATGAAATATTAGAAATTGATTATTGTTAGTGGTGGTGGTTTAAGAAATAAGCCTACTATTTACAGTGAATCCTATTTATAGTATATAGCTATTGGCATTTTTTCCTAGGGTAACAATTTTTAATATATTCAAGAAGAAAAATAAATCACTGGTGAATTCACTCGTAGGCACTGGAAAGTTCTTCAGAGAAATGGAGGCAGATTTTGTGCCAGTGATTTCATTCCCGTAGAGAAGAGAGTCTCTGAGATGTTCACAAGTATGTTAACCCACTTTATGACCCTGTGGAATGGTTACTACGTGTACTATGACGGAGAGTTTTCTTTTTTTTTTGAGGAAGGTGTGCCCTGAGCTAACATCTGCTGCCAGTCCTCCTCTTTTTGCTGAGGAAGACTGGCCCTGAGCTAACATCTGTGCCCATCTTCCTCTACTTTATGTGTGGGATGCCTGCCACAGCATGGCTTGATGAGCAGTGCCATGTCCACACCCAGGATCCGAACCAGTGAACCCCAGGCCACTGAAGCAGGACGAGCGCACTTAACTGCTGTGCCATGGGCTGGCCCCAGAGAGTTTTCTATTTAGATGGAAGCACAAACTTTATAGTTTTATTTTCTATCTGCCGGCAGAAATGTTTCTTTTCAAACCAGATTTTATAATCATATTCAACAGCTATTTCTAGCTATGTACGTCTGATACTTCAGTAAATTTATTTAGAATATGCTTCTGTTTCTTTTAACTCAAGTGAAAATTAAGTGGTTAGATAAATTATGAAAACTTTCATGATGGCGCTTAACACTTGAGTACCGTGGAAAAATGTTATTCCTGCTTAGTAATCTAAAAAGACAAAATGAAAAGAAAGAGATGATAGAACAATCTATCAAAGACAATATTTGATGTGAATATGTCAGATATTGCCTCCTTAGTCTTTAACAGAAGAGTTTCTTTAAAAAACAATTATTTTAGCTCTACATTCCTTCATCAAGGAATTTAAAAAAATTTTATTTGTCTTTATTTACAGATATAGAGTTTTTACTGAAAAGTTAAGAAACGTTTGAGTTCTGTGTCATTTGTGGACAGTACCGTGCTCTCAGAAACCACCCAAAATACTAGTTTCTTCACCAAAATCTTCATTATATCACCAAGCAAGAGATATGGCCCCTCTCCTGAAGTGAACAGATATGCATCATCTGCACATTGCGACGGCTGGATTCCCTTCACCAGATCCTGGGACATCCATCTGGGTTTCCTTGTGGACTTCCCAGTTCCACCTGCACGCTCTGTGTCAGGGTGACTGGAGCCGGCTCCTGCTTTCCTTGAGCTCTGAATCTGACCCCCTTAGCCTTTCCACTGGTCCTTTCTGCCTGCATTTCCTTCCTGTGTTGCATCTTTGCAGAGCATCTCCGTCTGTCTTAAGAGACTCGACGTTCCTATCTTAGAGTGTGGCCTAACGTTCTATAACCTGGAGACTTGACTCATCGCCTCGTCCTGTCCTCTCTGGCTCGTGGCCCACTAGAAACAATCTAACTTTGCCTTCTGCCTTGTGTGACCCAGAAACATAGTGACAACATAAATGAGAAGCAGATTCCTGAGCACCCGACACTGTTGCCAGCGCAAAATAGCAATTAAAACTAGCTACCAGTTTTGTCTGCATTTATTCAAATTACTTACTCTAAAGATGCCTTTGTTATAATCATGCTTCTGCCAACTATAAACTTCAGTCCCTAAAGCCCAATCATTATAGTTTCCTCTTGGCAGCTGCTCTAAATCCATTCTCTTGGCCTTCCCAGGAAATCAGTCAAGTTCTCAGGTTTCGAGTCTGCAGTCTGTAATTGAAAAGGAACAGCGCTTCTGTCTGGTTTCCATTTTCTCCTGAGCACTTAGTGGTCTCCATCTGTCCTTACCAACTAGATTTCAGGGGATCAGTTAGAATCTTATTGTTTCCCTCAATATATTGAAGACAACGTTGACATAACTAGGAAAGCGATACTCTTTTCCTGGAAAAAGAAGACAGCCCACAGTTGTTTAATTTGGCCTGGGAAGTGTCCATTAGCTTTTGCGTACATTCACGTTGTTTATCTGTGGAGCCCTCTGAGGATGGGAGTTGAGGGTACATTCCTTTGAAGAAGATTTGCATTAACTTCGGCAGGCCACCCAGGCCCTTCCAGCTCGGGACGGCTTTGTTATTTTCTTGGCTTGGGCGGTCGGGGTTCCTGGACCACACAGACAGGGTGAATTTAAATGATAAGCCCAAGAGAGCACACACCTGGTATTATGCTGAATCCAACCTGTTTCCTTGGCTTCAGTCTTGCAGGTAACTTCTTTTTCCTGTTGACTCTTTCACTGAGGCTGTAACTTTGGGGGTCCTTGGCTCTCCTCCCACCCTGGTATAGCCTGAGCTCTCCTTTTCTGGCTTGCAAAGGACTCCTAAAAGCCAGCTTTCTAGGTAACTGAGGTTGGCAAATGCTGAGCTCAGCTACAGGATCGATACAAGTTTACCGCTCTGGTTTAGGATTCCCTCTTTCCTTGGGGACTTTTCTTACTTTGTGCAAACTCAGCTATGCATGTAAATGGGGGTATTTGTTATATTTTTTTCTAGCATTTCTAGGTGCCTGGTAGTGAAAAGATCTTTCAAGATATGTCTTGTCTACCGTAATCCATATTTTCTTTTATATGAAATAATACACTAATACATTTTAATAAAACCAAATTCAATGAAATGTCAAGGAAACTGGACCTTCAGTATTTCCTCATTATCACAGACGGAAAGCACTATTATTTGCTTCTTTAAGTGAAGGAGGCCTTAACCATGCTGGTATGTGGTTGCAAAGCTGAGGCCTGTCTGGTTTCTCATCACCTAAACAATTCACTGCCCTTATTCTTATATGAGCCTGTCACTTTCTGCAAGATGCATGAATTTTCTGCTAGAGAAGGGCAGAACAAAAACGCTTGTGCCATGTTTCCTGTTTCTTTTTCTTCTTAATCGCAGAGATTAAAATGGCTCTTCTGCAGATCACTATTTAAAAACTTGTTGACAATCTTGAAACAAACCTGTCCCCAGAGCTATG